CGCCCGCCGCCGGGTAAAGTCTTAGGTTCAGGGAACAAAGCCTGGCTTGGTAGGGAGCTTTTCGCTTGTTCGCTCGGTTCATCTTTTCCTTCTTTCTTTTTCGTTTTATAGCTCTTGGTTGTCGCTCCCAAGCCCTCCCTCTGCCTGTCCTTTCGTCTCGGGCCCCGCGGCTCCGACTCTCCGACTCCCTTCACGCAGGTTTTCGTCTCTAGGTCTGTTTTTCAACCTCGGGGAAACTTACGGGTGGAGACCAGGGGAAGGGGTGCTAGAAGGAACACTAGCGACGTGGGCCGTTAGCCCCTCCGTGTCTGGGCGTCTTTTGGGCTGGCCGCTCATGGGCCCTTTCCTTGGACTCCACTCTGGAAATAGACACTCACAGGCAGATATTTATTCATTCGACAAGTATTTATTTAACACAATTTACTATGTGCCAGCAGCTAGGATATAGTCAACAAGATATTGCTGCCCTCGGGGAGCTTCTCGTCGAGTTCACAGACAGGCACGCACAAGGACTCAAACCCCATCCACACCTAGGCACCCACAGACAGAGAAACTCACGCCCAGTTTCATACAGCCACACCACCTGACCCTCCCAGAGACGCAAACCCCAATTCTAGTCCCAGAGGAGCGCTTAGAGACCACGCAAGTTAGAGACTCGAAACTGCAGAGGTGCTCATGAACAAGTTACACTTGACCTCTAGGCAAAACCGCAAACACAACATAACTCACACGCAGCACTCCAAAGGATTAATGTCTGGGGGAGAAGAAAGGGGCGTCAGCTTCTTCTCCAAGACCGATGTGGGCGGGGCGGGGGGGGCGAGATGTGACCCCCTACACATTTCCTAAAAGAAGGGTTTCGACGCCTGCGGGTACCAAAGGTCATCCCCCAGCGGGAGGTGGGGTGCCAGAGAGGAGAAGGCAGCCCTGGGGGCTTCAGCTACACTTCAAAGACCTAGCGCCGGGAACGCTTCCTGCGGGGGAGGGGTAGACAGAGAGGAGAGGGGAAGACCCGTAGGGGTACTAGGGGTAGAGGAGGCCCGGCCCACCTTCAGCCCACTGCCCCCCTGGCAGACTCTTCCGCTGGGTCCGCCTCCTTTTCACTAGCACCTGTTCGACCGGAACATCAAGGGCTGGGGCCCGCCGCCATCCCCCCCCCTCCACCTCGTCTCTTTAGTACCTTTCATCCGGTTAGGGAGGGTGAATCCCCGCCCAGGAGAGGGGAGTAAGGAGGGGGGAGAACTTGTCCTTGACCTGGTCTGTGGCGTCGGGGATTTATTCTCTTAATCCTGGTGAGGCGGGAGTTTGGGGAGGTCCGGGAAGCTGAGTTCTGGAGGCCACCTCCCCTCCCTCCAGCGTGGACACGGGGAATCCCGGAGGGTTGCTGAGACGAAAAGGATCAGTCTAAGCGGGTGGAGCTGGAGAAGCCTGAGAATACGGCCTCGAGCCTGGGGGTGAGATACTGGGAGCTAGGTTAATGCCAAGGGCCAAGATTCCGGAGAGGACTGCCCCTCTCTAGTTACTTGGTCAGATTTGTGAATTTCACTTATGCGAAAAGTTAAACAAGACACAAAGGAGAAACCTCGCTTAAGAGTTTCTAACGAATTACTTTTACTAGCAAGAATAAAACTGCAAGAAAAATAAACTCAAAGATGTCAGCCCTAGCCATGCGCAGAGTTTAAGAGTATTTGCTTTGCGGACTGACTGCCGCCAAGGGGCCATAGTTTCTGGTTTCGCTGGACAGAGGTCCCTGGAAGGCCCGTTGGTCCCTGCTCCCAGGAGTAGACGACCTAGAGGCAGGAGCCGGGAAGCCTTTGTCGCGGGTACCCTGGCGTCTGCTGCGCTCCTTGAAGCTAGTGGGATGATCGGGTGACAACACTTGTGTGTTTACTGTTTTAGGAACATTGTTTCGTTTAATCCTCCTCCACAACGCGTTAGAGCGGGGTTAAAATGCTTCTTTTTGTGGATGGAGCAACTAAGGGTCTGACGGAAGAAATGACTTGCCCAAAGTCACACAGCTTGAAAGCAGCAGAGTCAGGATTTGAACCCAATCCGTCCTCCGCTCCCGCTCCGCCACCACGTGTTCGTCGTGTGCTTGTGCGGAACTGGGATGTTCCTGTCTCCGCTAAGTGCGCATCCATAAAATGTTCTCTTCCAAGGTTGGGGAAAACCGGTGCCCCAAGTGCTGGGCTGAATTCACAGGGGTACCGAAGGCTGAGCTGTTAGGCTAATTCTCAGGCTTCCAACCTTTATTCTCCTGAGCGCCCACCATGAGCCGATCCGCAAAAAAAAAAACCCCAGCAAGAGCGGGACTTGGCCAACAAGTGGTTCAAGTTCCTCGTACTCTCCGTAGCGTAAATGAACACTGATTTGGGGTGTCACCCAGGTCCTAGCTCTGTGACTCTAGGAGAATGACTTCACCTCTTCGAAGCTCAGCTTGTCCCTCCATAAATGGGTTGTTAATACCCTCTGGCAAGAGCTGTGGTTAAGACCGAACGAAAATTCTTTTGTAAAGCGCTAAGACACACAGTAGGCGCTCAGTCTTGCTAGTTCTCTCACCGCCGCCCTAAGCTTAACAGGGCAGCGCGTTCCCGCTCCCGCTTCCCGCCTCCCGCATCTTCGCCCATCTCGCGCGTCCCGCGGCTAAAGGACTAGGGCAGAGACGACCAAACAGAAAATTATTTCCGCCCGTTCGCCCCGCCCCGCCCCGCCCCGCCCGTCCCCGGAGCCAGAAGGGGATTGTGGGGCCGCCGCGGCCGCTGCTGGAGCCGAGCGGGGCGGAAGCGCGCGTAGCGCTGCTGCTCGGGCCCGACCGCGCCGGCCCCCGCACCTCCCAGCCCTGGGCTGCGGGCTGTGGTCGGGGCGGTCCCAGGGCGGGAGGCGGCTGCCGCCGGGCAAGTTTCCGTGAACCCTGGCTTGCCGGTTCCCAGAACCGAGCGGGGGAAGCTGGAGGGTGTTGAGGTTTCGCTTCTGCTAGCCAACCCGGCGCATGGTTTCGCAGGTGCCAGGGGTCAGGGGTGCGATCTCTCTTCTTGGCCATTAGACAGCCTCGGGCTCAGAAAAAAGGCTGTGTAGGTGCCCTGGGGTTTGCGTTGCCTTTGCTTCTCGTTTTCACACCGTTTTCTCCTCTTCACCGCCCCCCCCCCCCAAAAAGCAAAGCTTCTGACCTTGACATCGTTGGGAGAGATTGTTACTTCTGTCGAAGTAACCCAGCCAGTCAAAGGTTTCAAGTGGTCTATCTGCTTGGTAGGAATGACTGACATGGTCAGTCAGAAAGCAGGGTGGGGGTTGGGGACGCTAGAGTCAGACAGAGCTGGGTTCAAGTCTCAGCCCTGCCATTTACTGGCTTTGAGTTGGAAGTGCCTTATCTGGGATCTCAGTTTCACCTCCGACCAGAGTACCAACCTAAGGGTTGATGTGAGCAGTGACACTGTCAAGAGCCCGGCACAGGGAAGGATGATTTCCCCATTAAAGGTTATGACCATAGACTATCTGGTAAGCCTCGTTAGTTTGCAAAGGTGGGTATTCAGGTTCTTTCCTAAGTTAGACACCCCGTTTGAGATGGATGGAGGCTCCATTTACGGAGAAACTGGTGGGAGTTAGGGGATTCCCCCAGCATTAGGAAATCAGCAGTCATGATATTGTAAATAGTGACTGCACATGTGGGTTTTTTTGCTTTTCATATCCTTTTACAGAAGAACACTACTTAATGTCAAATCCTGCCTCTGCCATTAGCAGCTTTGGTTTGCTAATCTCTGAAATAATGATAATTAGGTCCCTTCCTCTGCAGGATTTTGACAACTCCAGCTAACCAAGTTCCCACAAGAGTTGTGAGTGGGCCCAAATAGTTCCCCTGACCATGTTAGATATCAGGGACATCCTTTAGGGAGTTAAGATAGGTAAAAAGAGAAGAAATTCATGGGATAAGGTGGCTATCTGCTCAAACTTTTTCCAGAGCTACTTGGAGTCTAGGTGCAGCCCTGCTCCTAAGCAACAGTATGACCTTGGGCAAACCAGTTACTTTCTGGTGGGTGGTTGGGTGACAAGCTTGTGGAAGTCCCCTTGGAGTTAACACTCTGTAGATTGATGATGCTACTCCTGGGGAAGTTTCCCGGCTGAGGGATGACAGATGACTAGCACATTTGCTCTGCTACGTTCCTCTTTACCAGTTCCTCTTAAATCTAATCTTTATCTCTCCTGCTACAGTTACCATTAGGATAGATTCAAAAGAAATTTTATTATTTAGTCTTTCAGCAGAAACTCACTGAATCATGGGCCAGCCATGGGAGATACAGAGATATCACCCAGGCTGGTGGGTCTGACAGACATAGAAGTAAATTCAATTCAAGATGAAAAAGGCTATGATGGTGCCATGAACAGTGCCACGACTGCAAGGAAGAAGTAACTATGTTTACAGGGTCAGGGAAGGCCTGAGCTGGCACCCAGAGGGTAAGAGAGGCTTTGTGGGCAGGTATGGGGCAGAAGAGCATTTTAGGTGGGGGCA